CAAATTTTTATGTACGGTGTGTCCCGGCGGGATGGTTTCGTGACTTCCTGTAGGTGTAGCATTGCTCGAAAAAAAAAGATATGCTCTGTTTGCTAGATGATTGTAACAAGCTAAAGGAGACTGATCTTAGTTCTATGTGTGCAAAATGCCACTGTTGTTGCTCCCGAGCTCATGTGGATTCTGAATTTTCGATTCTTGTGTTTGTGTTCTGGGGTCTGTTTAGTGTTTATTGACTATGAGCCCACTGCCCACGTGAGTCCATTATCGACGCCTCGTTAAGAGGCGCTATGCTTTCCTTTTAGATTCAACAGGTTGCTAAGCGCGTGGTTCCATTAATGAAATTGACTGTCGTGTCTCCTTCACAACAACAACAGCAGCAAAAGCTTACAAGTAGAGTTAAATGGTCAGTATATTAACAGCGAAATCTACCACTTTTGTAAGGCTGAGGAGAAGAAGCAACAAATGTACTTAACTGTTTGGTTGCGACGTTGCTATCTTTCCATTCATTGCCTTGAAAGTTGAGGAATAGTGATCAAAGAAGCATTGGAGATGGAACGGACAAAAATTTAGTAGTTATATAACTAGAATTTTCACGAGAGGGTGGCTAACTCGGTTCTCTAACGCTGCCATGTTCCTGCTTCCCTTCTTCAAGTTCTCATAGGAGAGCGCAAATGTTTATACTTTTACTAGTCCAAATATTTTTCAAGATCCGGCTATTTAAGTCGGACGGCGAGGCAACCCTAGCCCCGCTGCCATTTCCCTCCTCTCCCTCTTCCAGTTCAATCCAAGATCGTCCTCTACCATGGTCCGGCAGAAGATTATCATATAATATGTTGATGTGATATCCTGCAAACGCACATGGTTTAGTTGTAGCCTTTTCGAAGTAAGAGTATAGATCCCATATGGACCACAGGAATTTAGCGTTGCTTCTTGTTGTGAATTATGGATTTGTGCTCTACTAGCCGTGTACTTCAATTGTACTCAGGGTGTACTTCAAAAGTTGCTTTCAAGTTCGACGCTTGGAGGTAAGTAGTGAGCATTGTAAAGTTTGTACAATAATAAAACCATTATCAGCTGCTGGCACCATGCGAGGGAAAAAACAAAAATGCTAGACTTACGCGCAAATTCTTATGTACTGAGCTTACGTGCCGACTTGTCCTATTCTTATTTGTCAAATTTTTATGTACGGTGTGTCCCGGCGGGATGGTTTCGTGACTTCCTGTAGGTGTAGCATTGCTCGAAAAAAAAAGATATGCTCTGTTTGCTAGATGATTGTAACAAGCTAAAGGAGACTGATCTTAGTTCTATGTGTGCAAAATGCCACTGTTGTTGCTCCCGAGCTCATGTGGATTCTGAATTTTCGATTCTTGTGTTTGTGTTCTGGGGTCTGTTTAGTGTTTATTGACTATGAGCCCACTGCCCACGTGAGTCCATTATCGACGCCTCGTTAAGAGGCGCTATGCTTTCCTTTTAGATTCAACAGGTTGCTAAGCGCGTGGTTCCATTAATGAAATTGACTGTCGTGTCTCCTTCACAACAACAACAGCAGCAAAAGCTTACAAGTAGAGTTAAATGGTCAGTATATTAACAGCGAAATCTACCACTTTTGTAAGGCTGAGGAGAAGAAGCAACAAATGTACTTAACTGTTTGGTTGCGACGTTGCTATCTTTCCATTCATTGCCTTGAAAGTTGAGGAATAGTGATCAAAGAAGCATTGGAGATGGAACGGACAAAAATTTAGTAGTTATATAACTAGAATTTTCACGAGAGGGTGGCTAACTCGGTTCTCTAACGCTGCCATGTTCCTGCTTCCCTTCTTCAAGTTCTCATAGGAGAGCGCAAATGTTTATACTTTTACTAGTCCAAATATTTTTCAAGATCTGGCTATTTAAGTCGGACGGCGAGGCAACCCTAGCCCCGCTGCCATTTCCCTCCTCTCCCTCTTCCAGTTCAATCCAAGATCGTCCTCTACCATGGTCCGGCAGAAGATTATCATATAATATGTTGATGTGATATCCTGCAAACGCACATGGTTTAGTTGTAGCCTTTTCGAAGTAAGAGTATAGATCCCATATGGACCACAGGAATTTAGCGTTGCTTCTTGTTGTGAATTATGGATTTGTGCATGCAAGTGATTGTAGACTACAAACAAAGTGGGGCCGGAAGTAAATAGTGATTTTGATGTAGAGCGATCTGAAAGTAAATAACATATAAGTAAATAGAAAACAACAACACTGAGTAACAAGTGGAAATCATAGAGGGTTAAGGTGTCCTCAGGGTGTCTGGAATCCCCATTGGTATGTTTCTAGCGCAACTTATGCATCTACATAATATGATCCGGATACTTGAGCCACTCTTGATGATTATGCTGGGCGGAGCCGGGTACAGTACACATTCTAGTCTGGGTAGACTTCGTGCCACACACGCCATCACCATAGTCTCCCACCTGCAGGTTATGACCAAGGTAATTAAGAGTTACCCCATGGACGCGGCCTCTCTAAGGGTTCTTCATAAACCCCCTATCAATTGCAAAGGCTTTTTATTGTCACCTTGAATTACCTTCACATCCGAATCTCTACAACGACAATGATACACTTCGTGGCCTTTCGGCGATAATGCTGAGTAGGGCCCCTTCACATCATCCATGAAGTTTATTAAACTAAGCATTCAACAGAGGATCTCATATCCAATATAACGTTTCAGCTTCTATACATACCAAGGTTCATCCATATCCCCAAGAATCAGGGTCTACTCACACATGGAGACAACAAACATCATAAGGATGGTGATGGAAAACGTGAATGAATCACACACGTAACAACTAGGGTTCCTGATGTTACAGTGAGATGGATGTGGATGATGATGGCAGTGGTGATGATGTTGTAGCCCCCTTGTGCTCGGTGGTGAAGATGGCGTTCTCCTCCTTGCCAGTTCCTCCTCCGGATGATCTCCAGAGGCTAGGATCCTACCTTCTGGACAAGTTTCTGGTGTCTCTGCGCGTCTGATCCCTGATCCGATTTAATACGGTGGAAGTAGTGGACAAGGCAGCGGCACATGAGTATCATACAACCGCCCATATGAGCGGGCATGCTTGTATGGAGCGTCGTCTTTTGCTCCGGAGGCTCCGCAACAACTCCTCCTTTGGCTGCTTTTCACCATTCTTTTATGGTAGATGATTATCACATTAAATACATGATTTCACTACCATTTTTAGAGATTCCTTTCCTAAATTATTATTTGCTCCAAAAGATGATACACGGAATACCGACAAAAAGAGGTGCGCGAACGCGATAAAACTCCACAAAGCCTACCATGAAGGCACAAAATAAGTATTGAAATCCTCACGTAAATTGGACACATCATCACACTTGAGCACCGAACGGAGATCCAAGCCAAGATGCTCGCCTCGAAGGAGGCACACAACGCCTGCGAGCTTGCGGTGATGGAGGAGGAGGAGCGGGTGCCAAAAGAGGACGTGCCAAAGGAGAAGCTGCCAGAGGAGGAGGAGGAGGACACTGCCATGGAGGATACGCGGACGAGGTGCCGGGCATGGAGGTCACCGATGTCTTTGGCATGGCAGAGGTGGATTTTGAGACGTGTTGGTTTGCCACAAAGGCGACCGCAGTGTTCGAGGCAGAGCAAGCCGCCATCCTTGACTCGATTCGGTCCAACCGGGAGATGGCGGCCAATCAACACCGTATCTACCTCGTGGACGTGAGGCTGGAGTAGCTGTTCGCAGACCTCTAGGATGATGACAAGGAAGATAAGCCGGAGATGCTGCCCGCCGCCAATGATCACGAGGCCAGTCCATCCGGCACGGGAGTCATCTACATCTCCAACAATGAGTAGAAGTACATTAGTTTCTTTCAAATGTAGATCGTTTGATCTAGTACGTAGATGAATTCCACATGACATGCATGGTGTAGTATGGAAATATGGGTTTACATTTGAGGATTGTGCTTGCAACGTCGTCGATGAAATGAGGGGTTACTTGCTCCTGTCTGTGGATGTGCTCGAATACGTCTGCGGACATATGAGGTCGGATTGAGGGTTGTGATTATAGATGCTGCGTGAATATCAGGTGATACCGTATGCTCCCATGACACCAATTTAAAAAAAAATCAAATTTAGATGTTTCAGAAATTTTAAAAAAAGAAGAAGTGGATGTTCACAACACATGTGTCTACAATCTGTAAAAAAAATCAGATCAAAGTTCAAAGTCAAATTACATGTGTAGAAAAAAAGATAAATTCAGCATAATAGTGTCAATAAAGACAAAAAGCATGAATAGTGTCATAACCTACATTATTGACATCCAGTTTTGTCTTTTTTGTTTCTCTCTGTGTACTTTGTATTTCGGTCTGAATTTTTTAAGGTTTGTACACATATGCGTTGTCAACGCTCACATCTTTTTGGAATATTTTAAACCTTTTAATTAATATTTTCAAATTGGTATCATGGGAGTATACACGTGATGGTATCACCCGATATTCTCTCTGAAGATGCTTTTAGGGCATCTACAATGGTTGATAAGATAATATTATCTTAAGTCTTTCATGTAATTTACAGATGACAAAAAAACATATCTACAAAGGGTCATCTCTCAGTGTTATTTCAATAACTAGCTATTCGTAAAAATATGGTGAGACATATTATGCAAAAAGATTATCTTTTGTCTTCTTTTAAATATGAGAAGACAAACTTTTTTTTTAATTTTTTTTCTTTCATCTCATCATTTATCCTACGTGGCATTTTTAAAATAGAACCATTGTACATGCTCTAAGGTAACCCACGTACACCGCGCGGGCTAGTTGGAAGGATCACTCTGGTCTCCAGCTTCCATCAACTCCAAACTCTATATAATCCCGCCATCTACACATCCTCAAACCACACTACTCATCATCATCGGCAATCAGTGCTAGTAAAGCAGTTAGCCGTACGACAAGTACAACCAGCTCCACACCAAAAGTAAAGAGGAGACGCACGGCGGGATCGAGCAATGCCGTCGTCGCAAGCCCTAGCGCTCGTCTCGCTCTCGCTCGCTCTCCTGCTCTGCTGCACCTCCCCCCTCCTCGCCCATGCCCAGACACCGGCGACCGACCCGGCGGCCGACGTCTGCGCCGCCCTGGCGACGGACGACGCCTGCCACAACGTCCCCAAGGCGCTGCGCCTCAAGCTCATCGGCATCCCGACCATCCTCGTCTCCAGCGTCATCGGCGTCTGCCTGCCGCTCTTCGCCAAGTCGGTGCCGGCGCTCCAGCCCGACCGCAACCTCTTCTACGTCGTCAAGGCCTTCGCGTCCGGGGTCATCCTCTCCACCGGCTACATGCACGTGCTCCCGGACTCGTTTGACAACCTCAACTCGCCATGCCTCCCCGAGAAGCCCTGGAGGCAGTTCCCCTTCACCACCTTCGTCGCCATGCTCGCCGCCGTCTTCACGCTCATGGTCGACTCCCTCATGCTCACCTTCTACAACCGCAAGAAGACGGGCCAGGATGCCGGGGCTCCCAGCAGCGCCGCCGTCGCCAACCTCGAGAGCCCGGAGCCGGAAGCACACTGGCACACCCACGGTCACGGCCACGGGACGGCGTTGGCCAAGCCCGACGACGCCGAGGCCGGCCAGATGCAGCTCCGCCGGAACCGCGTCGTCGTTCAGGTATATAATCTTGTGTGTTGCACTCGCACAATTAATTCCCGCTTGCACACCGTCGTTCAGATGGTTTTCAACTCAACCATGGATCCATGCATGGCCGCCAATCAAATCTCTCAAGGACCGGCTCCGTACGCCCGTGCTGTACTTTTTCTTAGTTTTTACGCCATAGGTGCCGGCCGATCGACTCCAAATGTCGAGGCCTACGCGCCTCGTTGACTTCATCTCACATGGAATATTAAATATGTAGATCATCTCCGTGATTGCATCAGTACTTAAGATTGTTTTCGTCTCAGTGCCGTACTTGGTTGTCGCGGCTAGCTAGAGATCGACAACGAACTGAATCAAACATAGTGGCTAATCCTCCATTTGTCTAGCTACCTAATAGTTTATATATGATGTGAACATCCAGATAAGTTTTAATTAGCTCAACTAAGTTACATGCATGCATCATGTTTGACTTTAGTTTGCCAAAAACAATCAAGCTTACCAAGCATGACCACGCAAATCTGACCTTCTACTTCCTGAATGGCTACTAACTGAGGCTTCATGCATGTAGCTACCTCCTTAGGCTGGCCATAGTGGGGGTAACATAACTAGTATCATATAATTAGGACTCGCAAACATGCTTACGTGGCAGGAAATTAAAGAAGAGAGAGAGGTTCATAGTAACATAGGTAGATATGGTAACATAATAAATGTTATGCTACTATGCGTCATGCATGGCAATAAATGAGACCACCTATGATACTACTTTATTATAGTATGCACTATGGATGTAGTATCATACACTAGTATCATATGCATGATACTAGTATATGTTACTCCCCACTATGACAGCCTTATATTAGTTATTAAGCAAATACAATGACTTAGTCCTGGTTTCTCTAAAATTATTGTGAATTGTGACTTTCTGCGTAGGGGAATCCTTTTATTCAAGAGTAGGCATGTACTCTACTGTAATGTGAAGACAACTAGTACTCAGAAAGTCACAATTCACAATAAAAATGAAACAAAATCTTGAAAAGTACAGTCAGCACTTTAAGCTTTCTTTCCGAAACAAAATCATGCACAGAGCAGAAATTGCCACTGCATCCGTTTCAAAAAGAAGAAGTTTTCTAGTTCTTGTTATTCAATATTGACGTATAAATGCATAGCCCGTCTTTCTCCATCAGCTTAAGCTTTTAGATGAACTGGTTGGTGCGTGCAGTTTTAAATGATATTGAAGTCAAGAGGTCTTGAGTTTAAGACACGACTGACATATAAATGCATAGTCCACCTTCAAAGCTAGAGCTTTTGGATGAATTAGCTAGTGCTGCAGTTCTACACTCAAGTTTCTATGGATGCTTGATTAATTTTGTGCATATATGTGCAGGTTCTGGAGATGGGCATCGTGGTGCACTCGGTGGTGATCGGGCTGGGCATGGGGGCGTCGCAGAGCGTGTGCACCATCCGGCCGCTGGTGGCCGCCATGTGCTTCCACCAGATGTTCGAGGGGATGGGGCTCGGCGGCTGCATCCTCCAGGCGGAATACGGCACCAAGATGAAGGCCGGGCTGGTCTTCTTCTTCTCCACTACCACGCCGTTCGGGATCGCGCTTGGGCTGGCGCTCACCAAAGTGTACCAGGACAACAGCCCCACCGCGCTCATCGTCGTCGGCCTGCTCAACGCCGCCTCCGCGGGCCTCCTGCATTACATGGCGCTTGTCGAGCTTCTCGCCGCCGACTTCATGGGGCCCAAGCTGCAGGGCAGCGTCAAGCTCCAGCTCATCTGCCTCACCGCCGTCCTCCTCGGCGCCGGCGGCATGGCCGTCATGTCCAAATGGGCGTGAGTTAGCGCGCCCGCGCGGGAACGTGCCTACTCGTCCAGCCTCGTCGATCGCGCTACATTATCATGTGCATGTGTGTTGCATCGCGTGTGTTTGCTCCCTAGTTCATAGAGTAGTAATTAAGCTTGCTTGATCGATCGCTCTCAGCTAGCATCTCTCCTATCTCTGTAAAGAAATATAAAAACGTTTAGATCACTAAAAACGTTCTCATATTTCTTTGATGGAGTACGTTGTAGCAATCTTAATGTTGATGTCCACCGGACACCTGTTATAGTACTACTATGTGTGTACAATGCCATTGCTTTTCTGGTAATGTTAACTGGGCTGTCGTGTCAAATTATGTTCCTTGTCTTTTTTTCTTTCTTTAATGAAAGGGTAGTGCATATTAACTGCTGGCTATCTTTTTGAAAAGCTGGATACCTGGCCACACAGTTATTTTTTTTAATTTTAGATAAAAATAACTCATGGTCCCATCAAGACCGTACACAACCAGAGTATCAGGATATTTATCCTCATCCCATCTAGCCCGGTCCTCATGAAAATTTGAAACATGAGTATTTGTTAGAATACAACTTGTAATAGGATTATGACTCCTACTCGGTTTATAATAAGACTAGGTAGGTGCGGCTTAGCTCTTATATATACTTCTTGTACCGGCAAAATATTTTATTTTTTCGAAAAGGAGGTATACCCCCGGCCTCTGCATCTCACCGGCAAAATATTGCATCAACAATTATTCAGTACAATTCTACATGGTATCAGACTTTCGATCCTAGGGAATGGCTAACCCGCCAGCCCCACCACCGCTGCCGCCACCCGGCTACTTCAGGCGGGGCGCCACCATCGTCGCCGCGGCCACGGCCTCCTCCGCCTACCTCTACTCTAGCTCTACCTCCACCAATACCCCCTTCCATCTCCTTCACCGACACCATCTCCGGTATTAGCCCCTACATCCCCGTAACCCTAGACCTTGCTGCTCACAACTACATCCCCGTAATTCTAACAAGTGGGATCATGAGCAATGTTCGATTTGAGAATGCGGTTGTTGATCTGGAGGAAAAGATTCGATGTTGTGGTCAGGGAATTGTGTGCATGAAACTCAAGATACGCCATGAGTCAATTAAGCGATCTGGAGAAGCGTGCACCGATTTTCGGGGTGATCGATTGGGAGAGGCAATTTCGGCAGATTTGATCGGATGGTGCTTCTCGGCCATCTGAAAACGGTGTCATACGCGTAAGCGTGGAGCAGCAGGAGATCAAGCAGCGCAAGGAAGCATGCGACCCAGGGCATGATCTATGATGGCATATGGATACATATACACCATGAGGAAAGGTAACATGAGACATCTACAGATGCCCCATGAGAAAAAGGAAACATGAGGCATCTGTAATAGAAAATAAAGACTCTAATACATATGCATCTCTACTCTTCACTCAAACATTTTCAGCTTTTTACACCAGACCATATTTTTTCTCCCCAAACACCCGCCTCCTGCAGAGGATCCCGCTTTCCCCATCCAAACCTAATTTTTTTGACATCCGGTCCTACATGACATGTGAGGAATCACACTGAGACTATGCATTTGTCATGCCCTCAGTGGCGAGGGGCAGGCTAACAGCAGGGGATCTGACGAGCCAGCGGCGGCGGGAGCGTGCAGCGGCACAGCAGCGGTGGCCACCGCGTGCAGCAGTAGCGGGCAGCAGCAGCGGCCACAAGCAACTGCACAATGACGGCGCAACCAAGGCCGGAGCAGCCACGACCGGTCCCACCACGCTGGCATACGCAAGAACTTGATTGCTTTTCTAAAAAAACTAACAGGACCGATTGCTTTTCTTAAGTTACAGGGACTTGATTGCGTATTGTCTGCGTAGATATTCCGCGTTGACATGACATGTGGGTCCAACCGGTCAGTTTTGTGCTTATTTGCGGCTTAGTTTCGAATCAGTGTGATTTGTTACTCACATGGCACATAAGTGGTGATCTTTTGTGATTTTTGGCAAAAACGATAATTTTGAAGTGCCCTAGCCACAAATGTGATAGTTTTGAGCAATTTACTCGTCAAAATTGGATATAAGAAGTGTTGCATAATGACATGTGGAGCACGTTTGAAATTTTTTCCGTCCTTTACGGGCATTTGTACTAGTTCAATAATAAAGAAACAAAGAAAAGGAACATAATTTGACACAACAGTTCAGTTGACATGACCAGAAAACCATGACATTTTTACCCATAATAGTAGAACAGTACATCGTGTCCTGTGGACATCAACATTAGGATTGATCGAATGTAGTAAGTGATGCTAGCAGAGGAGATCGATCAAGCAAAACTTAATTACTTCTCTAGGGAGCAATGCATAGGCTCATAGACACAAGATACATTATCCTAAAAAAAGACACAAGATACACGTACATCAACATAAAGTAAAGTGGGGTGCGGGATCGACGCAGTCATGCCCATTTGGCCATGACGGACATGCCGCCGACGCCCAGGAGGACGGCGGTGAGGCAGATGAACTGGAGCCCCCTGCAGCTTGGGCCCCATGAAGTCGGTAGCGAGGAGCTCCACCAACGCCATGTAGTGCAGCAGCCCCGCGGAGACGGCGTTGAGCAGGCCAACCACGATGAGTGCGGTGGGGCTGTTGTCCTGGTACACCTTGGTGAGCGCCAGCCCCAGCGCGATCCCGAACGGCGTCGTGGTGGAGAAGAAGAAGACTAGCCCGGCCTTCATCTTGGTGCCATACTCCGCCTGGAGGATGCAGCCGCCGAGGCCCATCCCCTCGAACATCTGGTGGAAGCACATGGCCGCCACCAGCGGCCGGAGTGTGCACACGCTCTGCGACGCGCCCATGCCCAGCCCGATCACCACCGAGTGTACCACGATGCCCATCTCCAGAACCTGCATTACGCGTAGAAATTAATCAAGCGTCCATGCACGCTCCCTGGAAATAACTATAAGTAGACGTGGCAAGAAGATACAGTTTAAACTTTTTTTGAGGGGAAATTTCTGCTATGTGCCTCACTACGTAGAAATTTCCCCTCACTACGTAGAAATTTCTAATAATTCTTAAGTAGTGATAAAATTATGCACAGAGATGATATAGATATCACGGCAGATAATCAGAGCGGCTGCTCACTCGATGCTAGGCAATGGGAGGACACCCAATTTTGGGAGGATAGGTGGCTGAATGGGCAGAGGATTGAGGAGCTTGTGCCGACCTTATACGCTCACGTTAAAACTAGGGTAAGATCAACCCGCGCGCTCGGTCGCTCAGGCTATGAAGATGCTGCATGGGCAAGGGACGTGGGACCGGAAGTAACAACGCCCATGCTAAATGAATACCTGACACTATGGATGCGGACTATGAGGGTGGAGCTCGACCATGCATAGCAGGATACCGTTGTTTGGTCATGGGAGACGAACGGCTGCTTCTCGACGAAGTTTGCGTATGTTGCCAAGTTCTGGGGCAGGAAAGTTTTTTTTTTTGAAACGAAGGCAAAAGATTTGCCTCTTTAATTAAATAAGGGAGAGAATAGTTTAGAGTTTTTTACAACGCACTCACAAATGCGGCATGTCAATTACTCGGACACTATGATGTTCCCTAGTTTTTTTGCGCCGGCGGTCACTCATAGTTTTGCATTTTCTAGAATGTTGGAAAGAAGAATCGTCGGCGGTGCGCTTTTGTGGCGGAAAACGCGGGCGTTTCTCTCATTCCAAATTACCCAAGAAACGAGCATGGTGAGGAAGGCCATTGCGTCTCGGTTAGGAATATTATTGTCGGTTCTTTTTTGCCACCACGCGTTGACAGTTTCATCCAAGTGCCACTCGGAGGTGTCCATGGGGCAGGGAAGTTATCCCAACGGCAGAGTTCACCTAAATGTCTAAGGCTCCACTTCAATGCTGCTTCTTCACTTGGCTCGTATTCAAAATAGATGTTGAACTTCCGACCGGCTAGTGCGGCGTGGATTGGACCATCAGGAGTGATGCCCCTTGTGTAGCCAGGAAGAAGAGAGCATCAACCACCTGCTGCTCCATTGTGTGCTTGCACGCGAGATTTGGACTGCGATCCTCCATTCTTTGGGCAAACCAGAGTGGTTGCCGGCAACGGGTGAGAGCCTCTCGGACTGGTGCAGAGATAAGGGAGGCAACTATAGCACCATGTAGGTGCAGAGTTTGGTATCTCAGGGTGTAGGAGTTTATTCACCTGATGCAAAGATGTTAGGCAAAAATGTAGCGACGGTGCTTTGGAGCGGTCTTTTGTTGTAGCATCCTGTAGGTGCAGTCGAAGTGCCTCAAGATATAGGAGTAGTTTTTTTCATGATGCATATGTTAGGCATCGAAAAAAGTTAAGTCTATATGAAACTTGATTTGTATGCTGTGACTCCATCCTAGTCAGGCAGCGGACAGTTCAAAAGGAATACAAGTGCACTATCCATCCTAGTCATGTTTTTTTAGGCGTTTCATCCTAGTCATGTGGGAGATATAGAAGCATCGCAACGCCGTAGTCTTCGTGCCATCAAAGAACTATGTAATCCTTAGGAACGGCAAGGAGGGTCGAACATGAAAGCAAGTGGGACTGATGAAAGACGAGCTGAACAACTTCTTTCGAGAAGTGGAAGGGTGGGCTACATTGGCGAGTTAGTTGGTAGACTAGCGTGGGCGTTGTGTTGGTGTTCATTTACTTGTAACACTAACATAGTTGGTAGACTAGCGTGGGCGTTGTGTTAGTGTTCATTTACTTGTAACATGAGGGTGCTTGGATCCAAGAGACTATTTTTAGTCTGACTAAAAATAGTCTCTTTTAGAGGCTAAAGTTCCAAGCATCCCTGACTAAAGAGAAGCTAGGACTAGTCTTGAGGCTAAAAATTTTTAGTCATAGGAAACCTACTAAAATATGTATTAGCCCTCTCTCTCATCATTTAATGCCTCTCTAACACATGCGAGTTCTGGATTGGAGGGTTTGGAGGATAATAAATGCTCAATAACTTGATTTTAATCTCTTTAGTATTTGGATCCAAGCTTGGGTGAGGCTAGCAAGTTTTAGTCCCACTACTTTTAGTCATGGGACTAAAACGTATCCAAGCACCCTCATAGTACGCATACTAAAAAAATCCATGTGAGGCAAAGTCAACCAGGCACCTAGGTCTGGCCATTTGGAGTCTTTGATTGGCAGCCATGCATGGATCCAAGGTTGAGTTGAAAACCGTGTTAGATTCAATTAGAAGTATGAGTTGGTTGGTTAGTGAGAGCAAGTGGGAATATTAACTGATTGTGCAAGTGCAAACACAAGACTACATACCTGAACGACGACGCGGTTCCGGCCGAGCTGCATCTTGCCAGCCTCGGCGTCGCCGGGTTTGGCCAACGCCATGCCGTGGCTGTGCCAGTCTGCTTCCGGCTCCGTGCTCTCAAGGTTGCCGACGGCAGCGCTGCTGGGAGTGGGAGCCCCGGCGTCGTGGCCCTTCTTCTTGCGGTTGTAGAAGGTTAGCATGAGGGAGTGGACCATGAGCGTGAACACGGCGGCGAGCATGGCGACGAAGGTGGCGAAGGGGAACTGCCGCCACGGCTTCTCGGGGAGGCACGGCGAGCCGAGGCTCGCGAGCGAGTCCGGCAGCACGTGCATGTAGCCGGTGCCGAGGATGACCCCCGACGCGAAGGCCTTGACGATGTAGAAGAGGTTGCGGTTGGGCCGGAGCGCCGGCACCGACTTGGCGAAGAGCGGCAGGCAGACGCCGATGACGCTGGAGACGAGGATGGTCGGGATGCCGATCAGCTTCAGGCGCAGCGCCTCGGGGACGTTGTGGCAGGCGTCATCCGTCGCCAGGCCGGCGCAGACGTCGTGGGCCGCCGGCGTCTGTGCATGGGCGAGGAGGGGAGAGCTGCAGCAGATCAGGAGGGCGAGCGAGACGAGCGCTAGGGCTCGCGGCGACGACGGCATTGCTCGATCTCGCCTTGGCTCGGTTGCGATTTAGCTATCTAGGCGGCCGTGCGTCTGGGCTAGCTGTACGGCTAGCTGCTTTGCTAGTATTGATGATTGGTTGATGATGATGATGAGTATTGTGGTTTGACCATCCGTAGCTGCCGGGTTTATATAGAGTTTGGATGAGTTGATTGATGGAAGCTGGAGACTCGAGTAATCCTTGCACTTGCTGGGTTACCTAACAAACCGTATTTGTTTTTGTTAACGAGTAAAATACATTGAAGGTCCTAAAAGTATTTCAAGTGTGTTAAGTAGGTTTTAAAAGTTTGAAATCGTTCACCGCGGGTTCTATATGTGTATTTTACCCGTGACTTTTACGACCTACTTCACACACATGAAATACTTTTAGAACCTGCGGTAAACGACTTACACACATTTAGGATCTAGGGTCAACGATTTTAAACTTTTAGAACCTACTTGACACACTTGAAATACTTTTATGACCTCCAGTGTATTTTACTTGTTGTTGGCGGCAGAGGGCTTATCAAGCCTGTTAAAAAGCCAGTGTGAATCATCAGCTTTTCAAGGATTAAGGGTGTTCTTCAAGGCAGACTCGGTGAGTGCGTATCATATAGTGCTACATACCTATTGCAGTGCCCCCTGCCAAAATCTCTATAATCTCTATATACGATATTTATGATGTACGGATATATGTGAAAAACCAGGACAAGTACATTTGAAAAGTTATTCATATTCTCATTTTAATATGAACCATAATATCTGGGGAATGTCAGATCTGAGGGATCTCCCAATGAAGAATTCGTTTGTACCGAGAGGGTCAATCCACCAAAATATTCCCTTGTGTGAAACGACCCCTCCTTGCCGAAAAAATAACGTCGCAAGCAAAAAAAATGGGCCAAAAAAGCCTAGTTTCAGCTCCACAAAAAACAGGCCTTAGAAAAAAAAACTAATGTTTTTTCACCCAACTTAATTTTTGTTGCGCCATCCTTTTATAATGAAACTATCGCATAGCCAGCGATTCAAAAAAAAAATACATATATTGTATGTATTTTACGTGTCTAGATAAAAAAGAACTAGCTACAGAAGTTGCCGTGCATCTAGATAATAAAGTGCCACATAATCCTGATTTCAAACATACAAAGTGTATGTTGATAAAAATAATCTAGATAGTTCCCGTATTGTAGATAATAAATTTGCCATGAATGTAAAAGTACCATGTCCAGCAATGCAATTTTACATGGCTAGGGAAAAAATAAATTTGTCATGTCAATAAATTTGATAGGATATAGAAAAGCTATTTTACCATGGTATGTTAAAAAAATTATCATGATAAGTCCAATAAAATTTGACATGGTCCAAAATAAACAAAAAAAGGTTTTAAGACAATTAAAATCACCTTCAATAACTACCATGGTCTAATTAATTTGGCATGAGATAGATAATAAATTTGCCATGTTCTAAATAATTGAATTGCCATGCTACCTAAAAAAAACTGCCATGGTCTAATTAATAAAATTTTCATGGTCTCAATAATATAATTGCCATGCTACCTATAATAAAATTGCACATGGAAAATTTATTATTCCACCACCACTTGAACCGTTTCGTAGTGGCAGGCCACTGGAAGGTGGTGTTGACATTTCTTGATTATTTTTGTCAAATACTACTCCATTATCTTCCTTCTTTTTCTCAGCCAAATCACTGAAATACTAATTGTGAAAGGTTCAGATACAAAGTATGCTAGTAGCAGCAGGCTAGCACACAAGTACTAGTTCTGTATTAGTCATGAATGGCTTACCGATAGGTCCTGTTGCCAGATGGAATTGCATAGAAAATTTGATTAGAACAAAGTATGCTAGTTGTAGCTAGGGATGACAACCCGCGTACCCTGCGGGTAAAAACCCTATTAGGGTAAGGGTATGGGACAAACATTCACTCATGGGTACTCAAATGGGAAAATATCATACCCATCGGATAGAGAGGGTACGGGTATGGGATCGCGTACCCATATACCCATCTAAAATGTTGGCAACTGATTTTCCTTTAATATTCTAATGTATGACTTTTCCTTCTAATCGCGCTAGGTAAAAACTCTAAATGTGCAGTCAAATTATCTCTATAATTTATCTGATTTTGTGAACTTAAAGTGTATGACTATGTGTTGTTATTTATGATTATGTGTTGTTGTTTAACATTTTTATGGGTTGCTTTATGGGCAATTTTTTTTTGAGAATGTGTTTTTGTACATGTTGTTTAAAATGTGTTGCTATTAATAATTTATGATTATATGTTGCTTTTCACAACTATTTTCTACTCAATTTGATGTGTTGTAAATGCGGGTATTTTTACCCGCGAGTACCCATATACCCTGTCGGGTGACGGGTATGGGAAAAAGTTGTACCCTTGACGGGCATGGGTATGGTTGATAGGTAAGTTCAGGGTGGACGGGTAAGGGTATGGGGAGCCTCCACCCGTACCCATATCCTGCAAGTGCCATCCCTAGTTGTAGCAGACTAGCGCTCAAGTACTGCTACTGTATTCCCAAATAGTAGAAAACATCATCTTCTAAGAAGTTTTTCAAATTAAAATTACTAAAAAAAACTATTTCAGATCAACTATGTCACATGAGAGATTGGTTGGAGCTTGTATCATAATCCTATAATCCTATGTGTTATATCCATGATATATTAAGACCATATTTGCTAATGAAATTTACGCTTGCTTTTATAATTACTTTTGTGTGGTATACATAGATGTGGAAGTAGTTTTTTTTGTTTCTTATACTGTATATGGGCCCATCATATGGAGTTCGCACAAGGGCCCCTAAAATGTCAGGGCCGGCCCTGCGTATAGGGACCCGGATTAGGCAATTTCAGTTGTAGATGCTCTAAGGTTCGAGGTTGGTCACCTCCTATATTTAATATGAGAATAGCATTTTCTATGCCCAACTTTTTTTTCCGCTTCCTACAACATATTTTTATAAATTTTGGCCGGAAGAAAACAAGCCTTTTATGCGAATGGAAAACAAGCTCATTTAACAAACCTATATTTTCAACATGATCTCGGTAGCAAGAACAATGGCATTTTACACCCACAAAACTAAGACCAGTCTCCTTTAGCTCGTTACAATCATCTGGAAAACTACAGGAGTATATCCATTCCCTCGCACTCCGGTTGCCCTGTGCCTTTGTTTTCCTCACATGGCAGCAGACGATGGTGATTTTATGCTTGTACAAACTCCAGGGTTTGGGCGACGCCAGGTGCCCGAAACCTAGCTCCGCCAGTCCCCGATCCCATGCTCTTCTGCCGCCGCCGCTGCAAGCGTGGGCCATGACGGCGGCGGGCCCAGTGCCAAAGGCACCAGGGCGGGTGGATCGCAACGGGACTCCCCCTCAGGCGACTGGGGTGCCTCTTGCGGAGCTTTCGTGGGTAGCAGATCGGTCGACGCCCTTGATCTGTGCGACAGGCCCGGCGTTCCATGGTCGGAGCGGTGGCTTGCCTGCTGTAGATGGGTGGCATCGGTGGCCAGCGCTCCATGGCCGGCGGGGTGGGATGCTCTGCTGGGAGATGGGACGAGGTGGTGACCACGGATCTGGCGTCTCGTCTAAATCCGTCGTGGAGTGGCCTTGATCGGCTGGCGACGCATGGAGGGGTCAGTGGGGGGCGGCTGGAGGCTCTCTGTCGGCGTGCCGGTGGCAGCATACGTCTTATACTGAAGCTCTGCATGGATCCAGTCAGCTGCGAGATTGGGGCGACGTGACTTCCGGTGAAAATCGCGCCGACTGCGGTCATGGCGAATGATGGCGGCGTCTCTGACATAATTTCCGTCTCGAGGCATCGTCGTTGCAGTTTGTGGCACCAAGCTCAGAATGTTCTGGGGGAAACCCTAGATCTGGGACTTCCGGATGGGACGATGACGGTGCCTTCGGTGCCGTTCTTCCTCCTGGGGGCATCTTTTGGAGCAGGAGCTAGCTAAAGAGGACAACAGAAGAAGCGGTGTTACATCTACCACATTGAAGACAACGGGTGTCGGCAGCGTGAAGTACCGGCTAAGATACACAATCGCTATGGTCAGCCTTACACCCATGAAATCAATGCACGCGGCCCACCCAATGATGATGCTTCCGCATAACATGCAGGTAACTGATTTCCCTCGATGGCTCGATCAAATCTTAACAGATGACTGTGAGTAATCAAGAGGCAAACCTACTGTGCGACCTCTTTCCTCTCGTCTCCCGTGTCGCCTCCCTGGTGACACAAGGGAAACCCTAGATCGGTGCCGCCAACCCACCTTTCCACCCTCCCCTTGGCTCGCCGCCACCGGAGGAACGGCCGGCAAAGCCCGCGCCGGCTCCGGTGAAGGTGGCAGCGGGGCCCTTTCATCTCCCTCGTCTGCTAGCTTGGCGAGGGGGGTGCCATGGACGGCGCAGGGCGGGACCATCGCGGCGCGGGGGCTCGCGTGTGCGACGCGGGGCGACAGGCTTGCGGCGGCGGCGGCTCGCGAAGAGAGGCTGGCTGCAGCGGCCGTGCGGGACGGGGTCTAGGCAGTGCGAGGGATTGCATGCTCGCGGGGTCTAGGCAGTGCGGCGGCGCGAGGCGAATGGATTGTTGTAGTGGTGGCATGCGGCGGGAGGCTGGCTGCAGCGGCAGGGCGGACAAGGCGGTGCTCTCTCCCTAATTTGGTTGGGCTTGGTGGTGCTCCTCCTGCCCGGCCCTACCTCTGCACGCTTGCGATGGGAGGAGGTGCGGGTGGGGCCTCCTTGGCAAGGTTCCACCCAGATCCCACACATGGTGACGCGGGCTAGTCTGCTTCTGCGCATCCCGGCCCGATCTTGAGCGCAGCGGTGCGGGCCTGCTTGATTTGGCGTGTTCCCGCTCAATTCCGGCGAGCGGCAGCATGGGCCGGTCAGATTTCGACGTGGTCCCATCCAGATCCAACGCGTGGCGGTGCGTGACGTTTTCCGCCCAGTGCCTGCTTGCGGTGGCGTGGGTCGGTC